GTATCTACATGCTGTTTTTTTTCTCCTCAGGGTTTATGTTAGCCTGGTTGTTACTTATAGATACAGTTATACATATATTTTGCAGTGTTCCGTGTTGCGTTAATTACTTTCTAGAATATCTGAATTAATTAATCTTTAATTAGTAAAAAGAGTTAGGTGAACGTGTGTCTGTAATATGATAGGTTCAGTAAGTATCTTCCGTTATATGTACATGCTGTTTTTTTCTCCTCATGGTTTATGTTAGCCTGGTTGTTACTTGTAGATACGTTTATATATCTTGCAGGGTTCCGCGTTGCGTCAATTTCTTTCTAGAATATCTAAATTAATTAATCTTTAATTAGTAAAAAGAGTTAGGTGAGCGTGTGTCTGTAATATGATAGGTTCAGTAAGTATCTTCCGTTATATGTACATGCTGTTTTTTTCTCCTCATGGTTTATGTTAGCCTGGTTGTTACTTATAGATACGTTTATATATCTTGCAGTGTTCCGCGTTGCGTCAATTACTTTCTAGAATATCTGAATTAATTAATCTTTAATTATTAAAAAGAGTCTGGTGAACGTGTGTCTGTAATATAATAGGTTCAGTAAGTATCTTCGGTTGTATCTACATGCTGTTTTTTTCTCCTCATGGTTTATGTTAACCTGGTTGTTACTTGTAGATACGTTTATATATCTTGCAGTGTTCCGCGTTGCGTCAATTTCTTTATAGAATATCTCAATTGAAAAATAATAATTTTTAACAAGAGTTAGGTGAGCGTGTGTCTGTAATATGAAAGGTTCAATAAATAACTCCCGTCGTACCTAGGTACCTACTATTTTTTTTTCTCCTCAGGATTTATATTTGCCTGGTCGTTGCTTATAGATACTGTTATATATTTTGCAGTGTACCATGTTGCGTCAATTTCTTTATAAATATCTCAGTTAATAATTAATTTTTAATTTGAAAGAATTATTAGATGAACGTATGAAAGATATGAAATTAGATTCCCGTGGAATTTATGTACCTACCGTCTTTATTCTCCTCAAGATTTATGTTTGTCTGCTCCTTCCTTATATGTTATATATCTTGCTATTTTTGTAAAGTGTACCATGTTACGTCAATTAATTTGAAGAATCACTGTTGAATATATATTGTTTGTGATTTTTTAATTTGTAAAAAGTATCTAAACATTTCATTTAAAATATGTATTTTATTTTATTTATATAATTAGGCAAATATTACTTATTATAAATACCTTCAGTATTTACATGTGTATATATGTAATTTGTAATGGTATATTACCTATTTCTATACTGCGCCAACGACCTGTTCTTTACTCTTTCGTCGTCGTTATCGATCTCCCAGGTCGTCTTTAAGATGTTGATTGATTAATTTAAGCTACAAGACCGCCTTTTTGTATATCAAAAATTTGTAAAATGTTCCTTTTGTATTTTTTTTATTATTTTATACCTATATATAAAAAGTGCATGAATCTTTTGTAAGTGGAGGTCAGGTCAAAGCGGTCACTACATTAGAGTATAATCATCCATCTATTGGACGGACATTCAGAACTGGACAAGACAAATATCCACTCTGGACCATTAATCCTTCTAATCTTGACAGAAATCTCCGGAAGGTGAGCGTTCACAGTGAGGTATTTATCAACACGAGTTGAGTGGCACAATTCCTCGTTCGACGATATGAAAACTTATAAGATTTTTCCTTTCCTCACTGCGTGTTTTTTGCAGAAGAAATAAGTTTTATTTGCTGTAATTTGAGAGGAGTGTCATCTAGTCATGTTATTAGCCAATTAATTAATTTATTAATAAAACTTTCACAACATATCTTATATATACAAAACAATACTTGTATCTTTCTTTGTACTTTATAAGGGAAAAGTTTTTGATAAATACAATATTATAGTATTGAATATTGTATTTTTATCAAAAACTTTTTCCTGTTAATTCAGAAAGAATATTAATTCAAAATAAAAAAACATAATAAAATATTTAAACTGTTACTTGTCTTGTACTATCTAGTGGAGTGCATGCAACAAATCTTTAATTTGTATCTTCAATTCATAATTTAAAAATAACTTATAAATTATAGGTTATTTTATAATTTAAAGGTAAATAGAAATCTAAAAGTGAAAAATTGTTATTAAAAATAGTATAAACATTTTTAGAGACTGAAAAAATATTTTTTAATTTAAACGTAATGTATTAAAAATCTATAACTGAAAAAATGTTAATAATAAAAGAAGTATAAACATTTCTATAGACTGAAAATATTCTAATATGTGGTAGTAATACAAAATGCTAATATATGTATTTATGCATTTATATTCTTTAAATGACTAAACTGCTGAACAGATCCAAATGGAACATGTCTAGATATATTACATGAAAGGACTGCAACGGTTATCTTTACCAAATAAATGTTTGGTTTGATTTAATTTGTTACCTCAAATTTTTTTTTTCGGACTACTCTAATGACTACTCTGTAAAGGCCAGCTGCGGCCAACACCGCAGCTGGCCTTTACAGCTTCACCGGACGATAGGGGGCGAGTGCAGATGGCACTCCAAACCCGCGGAAGGACTTATGGAGCGGCTGAAGGCCAACTCCTGCCTGACGGATACGACTTCAGTCTGAGGGCACCACTAGGGGTTCGAACCTCGGCTCAGGCCGTCGTAATATCGATCCCCGTTTGAATTGGACGGGGAATCGATCGGAGGGGTCCTCAAAAATATACAAACGCGGGCTGAGAAATAAATATGATTTCTATTTAGTTATACTTATACATACCTTTGGTCCAAAAGGAAAGCGCCTCTTGATATCACTGGAGTACCGTACTAATTTAATTAGAGGCAGAGTCATTACTACCCAATTAGTGTTGATGAATTTCGCCTTTGACACTGGCGATAGCAAATTTCTAAAATTGACGTTATCACCTTCGTAAATATTCTAAAATACCCGTTAGAATTCAATACACCGTTTTCTACGCCTTTGTATTGATTTTAATTTAAATTAAACACGTTACATTTCTACCTATTGTACTAAATGATTTATTTAAAATAATTTAATTTAAATTAAAAAAAATACATTTCTACATGTTCTAAATAATTTATTTAAATTTTACTAGCGACTCGTCCGGCAATGATCTATTATATATCTTTGATTTCTCGGCTTTTTCTATACTATAACACGCATGTATTATACCACAGATCACATAATATTATAATCTCTGTTTCTGTTTCCCACTAATCTCTGTTTGCCCTATGGTCGACTGGGAGGAAATGCCTTATGGTGTTAAGTCTGCCATATGCACCTTTATTTTGTTTTATATTTGTGCATGAAGTTTTTATAAATAAAAAAAAAAAAATTATAGTTGTAAACGTTCCTCTTGAAACACTATCTATTGCTAAATACTGCATCTGTCTACCCACTTTCTTAGTTATTTTCTACGTACACCGTCGCTTCTACTACTGGAGAAGGAGAACTCTTGATAATCACGCCAGAATACACTCAGTGTATCATTGCGATTTTTTTAAGCTAATCTAGGTTTACCCTTATTTTTAAGTATTAGGTATACTGGTATTTTGAAACCCTATTGAATTTTTTACATTTGTAAATTTCTATAACTACTTTCACAATTCCAGAGATATAACGAAGTTTAGTAGATATAAGCTTTGTCACATGAAATTACATCCAGTGATATGGGCCTGAATTGCTGGATGGAATTTCAGAAAGTATAGAAAAAATATTTACAAAAAAGAACTTTATATAAACACTAAATGTAAAACAAAAGGCAATCTCTTACAAAAGAAGTATTTAACTTAACATATAAATAATATTATCAGGTTATCTCATTTATATAATGTATATAAATGTGAACAACTGCGAATTCATTTTCATGATAAATAAATATTACTATAAATTTACTTTTATTAAAAAAATATAATCTCATTTTACTTTAAATTTATTACTTTCACGAATAATTTATTACGACAATTTTATTTTTATACTTTCATGTTTAATACGCATTATTATTAAAGGTTGTTATTAGCTCTCTTGTTGTTATTCATTATACAATTATTTATGTTAAGACTTAATTAACTATATTATTTATTATGACCATTTACAAATTACAGACTAGATTCATACTTAATTCCTTAAATTTCGTGAGTTATTTAATAATAATAGTAATAATAAGACATTTATTCAGCATTACAGTATTCTTATTTACTATTTATTTCTTAAGGTTTCTAATTTTATTGTTGTATAATTAAGTTACGTACATAATAAAGTACTACATTTTAAATTTTGAAACATCTTCAATTATGTATATGATTTTCAATTTACTATTTCTCATTAAATTACAGTAATTTTATATACCAAACTAGCTTTTGCCTGCGGCTTCACTCGCGTTAATTTATCCCCTTAGGGGTGGAATTTAGCGAAATCCTTTCTTAGCGGATGCCTACGTCATAACATCTACCTGCATGCCAAATTTCAGCACGATCCGTCCAGTGGTTTGGGCTGTGCGTTGATAGATCACTATGTCAGTCACCTTTGAGTTATATATATTTAGATAACTAAACTAATAATATAATACTTTATTATAGACTAGTTGTAAAAAACACTTTCTATATTAATAAAATGGAGCCTGATCAATCTCATACTGTCCACCTGATTACAAAGTAAAGTTATAGATTAATCTTACTGTTTGTTCCAACTTTTATAAAAATCAGAGTGATTGAGACTACAAAGATTGTAAAGTTTAGTACTGTTATAAAATCTAGTTTATTTTTAGTCCACGCTGATTAATATTCTAGTTTGTAATTAGTACAGAATAGAATATAGGACATGAACCCTAACAAAAGTCCGATTTAATCAAACTCGTTTACAGATACGTTAACCAGATCCATTGTATCTCCCGGTCCAGTATTGTTTAGCTAATCTCCAGTGATTAACATTCCTCCTCTTGTTGTTTCAGGCAGTCGGCCGATGTAAACATAAAGCCGAAATGAGATGAGTATGCGTGTGGCGTGGGCCAGATGGTACTGGATTGTTATATTCACGACTTGCGCTGCGAGGACTGCCAGCGACTGGCTCGATTGCGCCCACATCGCTACCTGCCGCTGCAAATGGTCCTCGGGTAAGAAGACAGCTTCATGTGCCTCCAGTGACCTACGCCGCCCGCCGTCTCTCTCATCAGACATCCAAGTTCTCGATCTTCACGACAACCCGCTAAGAAATCTCCCTCAGGAAGTTTTCGCTAATATAGGCCTGTTAAATTTACAAAGATTGAATTTGAAAGCGACTAAATTGAGATCGATTCATGCTGATGCATTTTTAGAGTTAAGAATTTTAATCGAAGTCGATTTAGCCGATAACGACCTGTCAAGCATACCGAGAGATATATTTAGAGGTAACGAAAGACTGCGCTTAGTTGTACTGAGCAACAATCCTTTGACAACACTAATTGCAGACCAATTTCCATCATTACCACACCTACGGATGCTTCTATTAGATGGATGCAGATTAAGATCTTTGCATACAAATTCGTTGAGGAATCTGAAATCATTAGAGACAATAGACTTGCGTAGAAATCAGTTAACATTCCTTCGTTTAAGTACGTTCTCATTGCCCGCTTTGAAGACAATATCACTATCTGGAAATCCATGGGGTTGCGATTGTCGTCTTCGTGAGTTTAAGGACTGGTTTTTAGATAGTAAATTGGGTACAGAGGAGTTAGTGTGCGTAGAACCATCAACACAAGCGGGTAATAAGTGGCGCAACGTACCTAGTGAAAGTATGGCCTGCGCGCCAGAAGTGCGTTCAAGTACATTAGTGGTAAGAGCTGAAGTTGGTGCACCTACTTCCTTTGGTTGTTGGGTGCACGGTGTTCCAAAACCACGAATTACATGGTTATTCGATGGAGTGGATGTTCATAATGGTACTGTTGATATCGATATGGAAGAATCGGAGACTAGTATAGACAATGATAGTTCTGAAGTAAGAGTACCTGGTAGTGTAAGATGGGTTAATATTACTCTTTTAAATGTGACATCTAGCGCTGCAGGCGAGTGGACGTGTGTAGCTAAAAGTATAGCAGGCGAAGCAAGAGCCATTATAAGTCTAGTTTTACCAAGATCTCAAACCGCGACTGCCCGTACCGCTCCAGGTATTCCACAGCTTTTAGGAGTTGTATTTGGCGCCTTAGGTGTTTTAGCCAGCCTTGGTTTTATTGCCGCTGTTGCTTGTTGGCATTTAAGAAGACGAACTGTACCACCGAGTCGAAGCTTTACTGACCAAGAAAAAAGACTTATCGACGCATCAGTAGTTGTTAGCTGCGATCGTTCTATTGGAGATATGGCATCACCATGTGATTTCGAGTTAACTGAAAGATCATTATCAATTGATGATAATCAATCTAGGGGATGTGGATTTGATCCTGTTCATATAACTATAGAAGGTACTCCGGGGCTTTTCCTCCACCACCAGCGGAATTTGCAGTACCAGTTCCTTATGGCAATATATTCATATCGGTGCAAGTGGCAGGGAGAGGAGAACCTGGGAAATATCCAGATTTACTAAGTGGTGGAGCTACTTTACCCAGGCGGAGTAGAACATGCTGTGCTGCACCTGCTTATGATAACATGGGTCCCAGAGTTACAGCAACCGGGAGTTCGACCTGGTCATTGCCAGGCGCTAATTCAGATAATGCTGATCAATCGGAGACGCCTGTCTTAACATTACCACCTCCACCTCCAGAGTTTGTCTCCCTTTAGCCTAGGCCATTGGTACTAGACGCCTCCAATCTGAGGTGACCTGGTACCTAGGACATTTCGAGTCAATTAGACTATCCCTAATTTTATTGTATTTAATGCAATTTTGACGTGATTATTCATTTGTAAATAGTTTAGAGTGCTAAGTGCGGACGATGTGTGACATCCTGTGAGATATACGTAAGGTTGTTATCAATATAATATAAATTGTATAATAAACCCTTTATGAAACTTGTTAATATGTTGGGATGATTGAAGTAAAGATGCGATATCTTCAAAGAGATCAGAATGCGTTTCAAGTTGAATACCGTTTCATTACACGACATCGCTTGCAATCTTTGAACCGTTCAGACGAGGGCACGGTGACTGATATCGCATTCCTCTTTGAATATTACAGCTACTTTTTCACTTTATTTGTCTTTAGATATTCCTTTAAGTCTTACGCGTATGTGTCTTCCCAACTTTTGTAAATATCGTTTATTCGTATTATACAAACTTCCCAAACATAAGACTGACCCTTTTGTCTTGTTTTCGTCTCTCTTTGTGACTTAACGAAAGTGTATATACACTCCTCTTAGACAAGATAGCTTCTAAATATTTACTTTGAAAGCAAATATCTAATGTAAATGAAAATAAACAGATCATGTAAAATTTGGTTTCGTTTTATTGTATGTATTTACCATTCACTTGGGGACCCCAAATATCGAAATGACGTTGACAATGAATTGCTACCAAGAGATTTAATTTGGACGATTTGCCGTGGGCCATATTGTTATGAATGTTATTTATGTACAAGCATTAGTATTTGAAAATTACTCGTTGTTTTGCTTTATACATTGTGAATTATTATAAATGTGAGTAACAAATCTATATGTTCGGCGATCACGATTGAATGGTGAAAATCATTTGTGGAAAAATTGAAAAATTATAACAATATTACATAGTATAAAATAAAGTCGCTGTCGTTGTCTGTCCGTCCTTATATATGCTTAAATCTTTAAAACTACGCAACGGATTTTGAGGTGTTTTTTATTAATAGATAGACTGATTCAAGAGGAAGGTTTACATATATAATACATGTACATCCGTGCGAAGCCGGTGCGAATAGCTAGTTAGTTATAAATTGTAATACTTTTAGAGTACAGTCATGGAAAGTTAGTGTTCTTTCAATATTCTCAAACAGTACCAAAAATAATTTGGTTTCAACCAGATTCGTACTCATGACCTTATGAATATGAGTAATTTGCCACTAGGTCACGATGCTCTAAAAAGTAATTAACTAACTAAACCGTTGTTCTCATCTTAGTACGTACGTGAAAAAATTTAACCAACTAATGAAATGTTTACAAAACATGGCCCTCAAACTACTACTAATCCATTGAAGCCACTGGAGAGATCCCCGTGGTTCAGCACACTGACTTACTTCGCAGGTTCGATTCCTCGCACAAAACAGACACTACTCGAGTATGATTATTTGTATTCATCTGTGTGTTTTTTATGTATATTATATATGTATTTACAAAGAAATGTATCTAAGTATATCTATCAGTTGACTAGTATTGTGTTGTCTCTATTACTGATCCTTTGTAATATATAACAAAATCTCGGAAACCATAAAACAAGAAGGGAAAATTAATTTATTTAAAAAAAAAAGGCTTAAAGAATTACTGACTAAAAAAGCTTATTATACAGTAAAAGAATTTTTAACAAACGTACTGTAGGAACTAACACTGCTGAACATTACAACAGACTTAAATTTTAATTTCTTTTTGGAAATGAGTCATCTACGAAATCGCTATACTCTTTAAACAGAGTCCATGTGTATTGTTCATATATTACATGTAAATTTATGTATATACATGTGCAATTATAAATAAATAAATAAAATAATACCCATAAGATATGCTCTACTTAGTTAGGGTCTAGATGGCGCTGTATGGAATGTTCATGATTAGTCTTATTATTAGAATCATTCGAGAACGTAAAATGTTAGAATGTCCAGTAATTTTTTATTCTATAATATTATATTATATAAAAATAGATAGAACTATTTATTATTCTCAAACAGTTAGAGATTCACTGCAAAGCAAAAATTCTATCGAATGGTCTCTCATCACGGAAAGGTAAAGGTAAAGAACCACTGAACTGTACAAAGGTAAGGCGCACGAACGAGAAATTCACGGAATTAATGTAAGGGGTATGTTTTCACGTTGGAATTCAAAGGGGGATGCGTGAAAATTCAACCTTGACGCTAAGGAATTATTGCAAAGCATTATTGTCCTTCAGGTTTATTGCACGAGGGTAATTTATTCCTGTTTCAATTTTAAATCCATCTGATTTTTCAACAACCTCAATGCTTAAGTGTTTATACTCAGTGAAAGATTATTTTACATGCAAAATAGATGACATTATATAATTTTTATTAATAACTATAAATATTAACATTAATTAATTAATATAGATATTTAAATATATTTGTGGGTATTCGTAATGTAATGACATAATTTTATATTAAATTGAATATGATTTAATTTGAATATTTGCATACCTCTAAGGGGTGCTGCATGTCATGTACTTTTATTAGTTAATAAGATCCGAAACTACCATGTAGCAAGCAAATAAATAAATTATTATTAAAATTCACCAGAGACATTTTATCAATCCAAATTGATATTAATAAAAAAAAATTAAAGGGCATTAATCACTATTTTAAACTACTTTAGAAAAGGTTCTTATGAGTACTTAATACTTATTGAGACAGCAAATTGCGATTTTAATGATAAAGTTATGACTATACTAGCTGTGCCCGCGGTTTCACCTGCATGAAGTTTATAACCTATATGTTATTCTAATGTTTAAACGTATTACTGTAAAGTTTCATCAAAATCTGTTCAAAAGTTTTTGCATGAAAAAGTATCAAACATTCATTCTTTGATCTATTCAGGCGTACTCATAAACTTTCGCGTTTATAATATTATATAATATTGTAATCATATATATCTTATATATGATATATATTAAGAAGATTACACAAAAATTACCATACTATAGTTTATTTCTGTGTCATTTTTAAATCTATTTGCTTTTTCAACAACCCGAATACATAAAAATTACCAGAGATTTTTGTTGTCAATTCAAATTGATATTAATGAAGAAAAGTCAAAGGGCATCACTATTTTAAAATAAATTAGAAAATGTTCTTAATCCTACTTAATTTTTTTTGTTACTATGGTAAATTGTGATATAGTTATTACTTTATTCCACAAGAATTACGGTACTATAATGGTACTAGCATAGACTTTCAATTACAAAATGAATTATCAAAATATATTAATAAATAACGAAGATAAAAAAATTGCGAAATAATTTATTAATATAGTTAATGAGGTCATAACACAAATAAATTTTATGGTAAATGTAATATTATATAGAAAAGATTAGATTTTTTCCATTGAATAGGCTTTAACACCAAGGATCGATTTGGAAAAAAATTACAATTAAAATTCTACATTAACATAGCGAAAGTAATTTTTCAAAAACGTTACCTTTCCATATGAATATTTTGATAATATAATCCATCGTAAGAAAAAAATACCTAAATCACGTACGTTTTGGAAATAATTGACAATAGCGCAAAGTGATGTACTACAGTTTTATATAGGACATCAATATCGACGTGTTTCTGTATATGTGTATGTTATAAATTATTTTTTATATATTTTTTTTTCTTAAATGTCTATATATATTACGTAAATCTTTATTTACCATAAAATTATTCGTGTAAATACCCGATTAATAATGTGTTAAAAAAGTTTAAGTAATTAAGTTATTCTTTTAAATGCATTTACGGTAAATAACTTTCACTTGATCCTATTGCAGATTCCTATATTATGCTATTATATTGATATTATCGAACTCGCTACCATTAGAAAGAAAGGCAGTGTCAAACCGCTAGACAATGATGCCTTGATATAAAAGAGAAATTCTCCAGAAAGTACTACAATATGCGGCTATTTGTCCACGGTTTCGATCCCATGGGATTGTAGACAAATCCGACCCCATGTCAAGGTCCGGGAAATGCTGCCGAGTTATTGAACGCAGGGTTGCCAATCTTACAGTTTCTTGCGCCATGTTGCCATGCAAAATATATTTTTTTTTATTTATTTACACACAAATTTATACAACATAATATAAAAACAATAAGCCGCAAAACTGCTCAGCAGGTTGTCTGCAGCAAAAGCGCTATATAAAACTTAATACTTACTTCTAATCTATATATACACACACATACATTCACATAAACACATTACTGTAGAACCAGGTATCTTATGCCACACAATGTTTGTTTACAAAAAAGTTTAATGATTTCAAATATCATATTAGGTAGGTTTAGTTACCATATTAGGTAATTTTATCATTATGGATAAACTACGTCTCCTATTACCTTATGATCCACTGGTGATCTTCCGACGTACTCCGTTAAGACAGGCGGCTGGATTCCCTGAAATAATAATAATAATCTCAGGACAATTCACACAGCGCCATCTAGATCCAAGTTAAGCTAGCAATAGCTCGTGTTATGGATATATTTTTTTCGTAAATACATACATATTATATAATACATAGGAAATACCCAGACCGATACAAACAATCATACTCATGAATACAAATGTTTGTGCCGTCGAACCCGCGACCATCGGACGTAATGCGGTGTACTAAACCGCTAGACCACCGAGGTATTGAGACAAAACAAAGGATACAAAAGATGTGGGAGGGTTACGACAGTTCTAATTAGTGTTGTTTTTTATATAATTCTAGCTGACACGACAAACTCCGTTCCGTCTCAGAATTTATAACGTATCAAAGTTCAATAAATCTTACTAGATAGTATTATTAACTCGAAAGTTTGTAGTATGGATGATGGATGGATGTTCGTTACTCTTTCACGCAAAAACTACTAAACGGATTTGAAGTTTACAGTAATGTAGATTCTACATCATAATCTTTTTAAATTATAGCCTATAGGCTATAATTTAAAAAGAAATTATATAAATTGGGTGAAATCT